TTCATCTTGGCGTAATGAAAATATCAATAACAGGGGAACAAGACTGTACAAGTGGCTGATTTCAAATAATATTACCTATAAATGTACACTTTTTCATTCAGATACACCAACATATCCAAGGTCGGGTGCTTATATAGATTTAATTCTTGCGGATACCAGATTAAATTCATTAAATACAAATACAAATAACCTAGAAACGAAAGCATACGACAGCGATCATAATGCTATCGGTTTCGAATTTAATATAGAAATACAGGGTGTCCAAGATAATACTAGTAACAAATATTGTTACCACAAAACCAATTGGGAAAAATTTCGTCAAAAATTAGACAATAATTTCGAGCTTAAGTACTCAAATAGTATAAATAAAATACAAGATAATACCAATATTAATATTCCGAATATAAATAGGCATCTCCTAGAAATTGAACAAGTAATAAAAAAAACTATGGTAGAAGTGATCCCTGTATCAAAAAAAATAAATTATTTAAAAAATCTTGAGTCTGCGAAATTGAAAAAATTATGTAAAATGAAAAATAAACTAATTAACGACATACACAAAATTTACAGCCAAAGGCTGGACTTTACATCTTATGACATAATCTTATTAAAAAGTCTATTACGAAACATAAAATGTCTCATTAAAGAACAAATAAACATAGAAGTAGATAAGTACTGGATAAACAGAATACAGAAAATACAACCTAATAACCAAAATATGTTTCCTGAAATTAAAAAAATTTTTTATACTAGACAAGACCAAAAAATTGTAAATCTCAATATAGATAATAATTCATGCAATTTGATATTAATACACTTGAAAAAAACAATGCAAATAAATATATAGTCAACACACCAGTAGATATTTATAAGATTTTAGGGACTCATTTAGAGAATACACACAAAAATGTAATTACAGATGGTAATAATTTTCATGCGACAGTTAGAGAAAGCGTTACACAGTTTAAAGAAAATAAAATTAGAAAACAAAATAATGAAATTACCCTGTGTAACTTTAGTGAAACAAATAAATCATCAAACGAAAATAATAATAGATTTTTTATAACAATCTCAGACTTAAATTTAAAGTTTAAAAACCTTAGGAATAAAACTTCGGCGGGTGTAGATGAAATACCTAATATAGTATTAAAAAGCTTGAGTACGAACATTATATCACAATATGTTATCTTATTCAATAATGCATTAAACTACTGCTATTTCCCATCTATATGGAAAAAAGCTAAAGTTGTGATGCTAAAGAAACCAGGAAAGGATCCTAAGGATGTAGATAGTTACAGACCTATAAGTCTGCTTCCTAACATAAGTAAAGTGTATGAAGCAATAATTAATGACAAAATAGTAGAATTTGTTGAAGAAAAGCGGCTTATGCCTGAAAACCAGTTTGGATTTAGGTACAAGCATAGTACTGTCCATGCTATCACAAAATTGACCTCAGATATTTGTTGGTTCATAAATAAAAAATTTGGTATAGGAGCATGTATGATAGATTTTGAAAAGGCTTTTAACAATATTTGGACAGAGGGATTAGTATATAAACTAATAACATATGAGTTTCCCGAGCAATTAATAAGTATAATTGTGGATATGATAACTAATCACGAATTTATAATAGCCAATGATTCAAATCTATGTAGACAGGTCTTTAGGATTGAAAATGGACTTCAACAGGGTACTATAAACTCTCCTATTTTATTCTCAATTTACATAATCGAATTACTAGAAAAATTAGGACGAGTAAAAGGAAATAGCTATTCGCTAGCATTTGCAGACGACATAATAATTTACTCAGCAGATAGTACGGTAGAAAAAATACAAAGTAAAGTTCAAAAAATGTTTAATCTAACAAGGGATTATAGCAAAGTATGGGCTTTAAAGATTAATTTTAATAAGTGCGAAACAATACTGTTTCGCAACACCACAGACAAAGTTAATTCCAATATAAAAAAAAACTGGAAAAATTTCAAAATAAAAGTGAATGACAATAATTTCTTAGAAAATAAAAAAGTAGTTAAATATTTAGGAGTTTACATACACAGAAACCTTAATTATATTCTACACGTAAAAAAAATTATAGAAAAAGCAAATAAGGCATTCATGGCGTCGAGACGTTTGTTTTATAATAAAAAGGTTAGCAATAGGGTAAAAGTGATTTCATATCTTGCACTCATTAGACCAGTGATGTCATATGCTATACCAATTTGGTATAATGTGAGTGCAAGTCTGATGGAAAAACTTAGATTATTCGAGCGAAAATGTATTAGAGTTTGTATAGGTTTAAATCGAAAACCAGAAACAGAACATCAGCAATACTATTCTAATAAATACATTTATAAGATAGCAAACATCAATAGAATAGATAATTTCTTAATTAAATTAATTAGAAGGCATTTCGACAGGGCACTGAAAACTCATGAAAACGGTCTAATATCAAATATATTTTACCAAAACGTTGAGTACATTAAAAAAAGTTTAATATCGGGCTTCATCGCACCCGAACATTTTATATACTTGGATAGTAAAGGTTATATCCAGGATACCGCGCATGTCCCTATATTATATCATTATAATAGACGGGCTACATGTAAAAGTATATGTTACGAACCATCCTATTTGAGTGATAGTAATTTGAAGTTCGATATGAGCATACCAATTAGAGATACTTTCATTAATAGAAATTACTGGTGGTTAGAACAATAATATTAATCACTGAAATACCGGGTGCAAAGTACTTCAGGTATTTCCTCAATAGTATTAAGTTTAGTTATAGCGTAGAATAAGTTAGCCTAGTTTAAAATTAAGTTTTATTTCATAATAACAGAATTAATTTTAGGTTTTTGATACAATTTTTCCTAAAAATAATAGTAAAAAATGTATATATTTAAACAATATAAAAAAAAAATTTCTTTTTTTGTTAGCAATAAGTTAAAAACAAAACTAACAACAAAAACCACTAGTTTTTAAGTTAGTTAACCAAATTTAAATTAATAATTTTTTTGAAACTTTTTTTGTTATGTAAAAAAAAACAAGAGAAAAAAAAATTGAATAAATAAAGTTTAAAAAAAAAAAAAAAAAAAAAAAAACTTAGTAATCATGTGGATTACAGTAAAAAGCAATGTAGAGAACCTTTCGTCGGCAATTTTTTCATGCCTCTGTAGCTCAGTTGGTAGAGCGTCCGCCTAGAAAGCGGTAGGTCACTGGTTCGAGTCCAGTTCGAAGAGAAAAATTTTTTAATTAATTTTTCTGCCTTTAACTCGTTTCTTTGATTACGTCATCCATGCAGTTGCATGAAGAAATTTCCATTAAGTTAAATTGATTTAAAGTTTGGAAGATTGAAAGTTACAATAACCTACGAAAATGTTATTCAGCATTTATTATTTCAGTAGTTGCTGCGATCTTCTTAAATTTTAAAGAGTTTATCATAACATCTTACTAACGAAATTGAAACATATATGAAACTGCTGGAAAAATAATTCATTTACGAACTTAAAAGTTATGTGATTTCGAAAGTTATGTGAAAATATTATAACTGGTGAAAATATTATAAAATAAAATAAAGTTGGGTCAAACCAATGGTTTGTATTGTAGCACTTTTCCCTTCAACAAGTGAAAACTCTGCTTTTAAATACAGTCTATGTATACCTATCACACTATTAAAGTTATTTTCATTCATATACAAAACTATTTCTAGGGTTGCATATATTTAGGATGACGCATATATGAAGTCTTTGAAATAAAGCAAAAATTAATATAAAGAGGGGTTAACATAATGCTTGATTTTAAGGGTTAATTGTGTGAGTTAAGATAAATAATTATATTTTTTAATTTCATGGATTTTACCGTTAGCTTTTTGCGTTTATAAAAATTTGAAAAAGCTTGCGGTTTCGGAAATATAAGGTGTCAAAAATTCAAATTTTACGAATTTCAAGAGGTGATAACTTGAGAGGGGGTGGAGATGGAAAAAAATTTTCTTCTAACAAAATGAACTATTTGTTAATGTCTGAAAGCTCCTAAAATTTCAAGCTTCTAAAGGCTGGGGTGTAGAAGAAAAACGACATCAAAAATTTGGAAAAAAAGGACTTTAGATAACGGTAAATTTGAACGGCCATTTTGTTTTTCTAAATTTTAACTATAGAATACCGCGCAAGGGGAAGCAAGCCACTGTGTTTCTGCGTTGGCAAACTTTCAAAAATGCTTATGGTTTCATTGCAACAAATAGGTAAAAAAGGCCATTTTTAGGGTTTTGGGGGGGTATAACTTCTGGAGGGGGGAGGAGATAGGTAAAAATTTTCTTCTACGGAAATAAGTTTCTAGTAAAGATCTATGTACGTATGAAATTTCAGCTTTCTATCTTCAAGGGTGTAGAAGTTTTGTAAACCAAAAATGTGTCCACGGACGGACAGAGTGAAACTAATAAGCACTTTTTTCAAAAAATTTTTTGGAAAAGTGCTAAAAAAGCTGTTTTTCGCATATCATATTAAGTTTTTATTGTATTTCCATTTCATATTAAATTATGTATATATCAAAATAGGTAAAATTATAGTTGAATTTTTCACAGGCCATTGGAAAACGATGTAATATTTGATTATTTTAGGACTAGCCAAATATCAACTATCATTCAAAATGTGAGAAATTATAACTTATTCATTGCAATTGAGCTCGCCACAAACAGAAGAATGAACACTGGAATCTGCTCATAATTTGAAATCACTCATTTCATTACAATTTCTGCTTATCTTATCTGATTTAGGTCTTTTGGGCAAACGAAAGAGTTACTGAATTTGGAAAAAAAAACTTATTAAAAATCTGAACATCGAACATATAAAACGATAAAAAGGAATAAAAATTTCTGATTTTTTTTTGTTTGATAATACCAGATCTTTTTTTGTTTTCATTCCGCTCTACACCAACTATACTTAATCTATAAAGTAAATTTTTGGAAGAAAAATAACATATTATTTAATATAAAGCATCCTACTTACCTGATGCCATTGGTCTTCAATAGATGCTTGGGATGAAAAATAACCAGTATTACAAATATCCTGTAATTCGCGAAATATATATCCACTGGGAAGCACATCCATTTTACAGAAAATATTTGTTTTAACCACAATTATCCAAAAATACTTTTTGGAATGAATTTTTCAAAGTATAATTTTTTTGTATAATAAAAAAATTAGAAAACACTTTTTTTTAATAATGTATAAAAATATTGCTATTTTGCATAAAAATATTTTTTAAAGATTTGATTTCAAAAATGCAAAAACTATAGTAAGAATAATATATGTACATACATGATTCTTTTAATACATTAAATTTATCACCGCACAGTTATGGTTTTGAAAATTATATGGAAGAATTTTTTATTGTTTACATTTGCACAATTTAGATACTAAAGTATTTTGGAATGTATATTTTGGATAACTTTCTAATGCGTGTAAATTTATATATATCATATTTAAATTTGCGCAAAATTTTACAATCTGAAAGAAAAAAAAAAATTAAATTAAAGTCTTCAAAATTATTACAAAATTATCTAAAAATACTTGATTATTTTTGTTTAAGTCAGAATTATTTCAAATGTATATATAGCATGGATTTGTTATACTGTGTGGACAGAGAGTAGTAGAAAATTTTTGAAGCCAGCATAGAATAACACAAAAAGTTGCTCCCAGCGTAAGCCAAAAAGTAATAATATTTTCCCCCCCTTTTTAATTTTTCGTGTTAAATTTTATACTAAACTATAAGCAAAATTGTTAAAATTTAATTAGAAGTGATGATTTTTATTTTATCCATTAAGTAATTTAATAAAAATTCGGAAATTTTGGAAAAAAAAATATTTTCTCCAGAAATCATACAAATTTATCAATATTTCGTTCTGATTGTAAATAACATTTAAAATTTGATATTTGATAATGCTAATTTTCATAAAATATTTATGTTTCGTTAGACAGTTTGTCAAAATTTGAAAAAAAAAATCTGCTTGTCGAATAAGACATATTTCGCGGCGTTTTGTAAAATATTGTTTTTTTAAATAAAAATATAATTTTCTGTAGCGAAAGTGCAATAAAAAAGTGCAGTAAATAAAAAAATATACGTAAGTGAAAAATTGGTTTGTTTTGTTTACATTTTTAAGTTAAAAAAGTGTGGCCGTCATATAAAATTCAAAAAAAAAATTTTTATTATTTTCTAAATAAGTGTAATGCAAATAAATATTAGTGATAATTATTTTCAAATTAAAAAAAATTGTTATATTTATATTGATGCTAGATACAAGGCAAAAAATTGTTCGTCAAAGTTTAACGATATTAATACATTTTTGCGGTCAATAATTTCTTTCCATTAATTCCTTTCTTTTTCTTTTCACTTTCATTCAATATGATTGGGTTTGTATAATCTATTATATAATTAACTATAATATAATTAACTTGATTACCTTATTATATCTCTTTTATTTTGAATAATTTATGTAACCTTTAGTACAATCTTTTACCTCCCAATTTTACTTTATACAATTTTTTTAACTAATACATATAATTATAATTAAATATTTTAAATCGTGTTTTCTTTTAATTTCACATAAATTTTTTTCCCTATTTTAATATTTTTCAGAGATGGCAGTAGGAAAAAGAACATTTCACTTGTAAGAGACTTTGATACTCTCTTTATGCTAATTCTTTTTTTTTCTGTGTAAAACGTATATGAGTAGCTATCCAAGTGAATCCGAAGCCCAGATGGGGAAAATCAAAGTAGCCGTCATGGATGAGATGGATAAATTGTGAACTCTCACCCACAATTCACTGCAGCGTCATGTACAACAATCACGTACCCATCACGTACAATAATTAAAAAATATCAGGGAGTGGATAATCAGTGTGTACAGGAAGATAAAGGAAGGACTAGTGCTGCACCTATGACGTCAAAAGAATTAATGGCAAAGCAGGCGCCCATCAAATTACGCAAGAAAGCGATAAAGGGAAGGAAAAGCCTTTGTCTAAAGGGCCTATGCCCATAGACAAGAGCCTTTAGAATTAGTATATCTGTGACGTGCATCCAAGTAAATCTGCATCATGCAAGGGCTCCTAAGAATGTCCTGATTCGTAGATTTATGAAAAATAACCTTAAGGACCAGATCACCCAGATATAGGTGACGGTTATGTTTCCACAGAGTCACCGTCATCCGTAAACGGGTCACACTACCCTTGTCCAACTAAAAAAGGATTTTTGAGGTAATTTATAATAATTTTATTCGAAACACAGTTATGATCAGTATAAATCACAGAAAGTAACAATAAACTATAAAATAAACAAAAATTCACATTAAAAATATACTTATTTAGTTTTCTTTTAATATTATAATATTATGTTAGTTTTTAGCACTTTTCCAAAAAATTTTTTGAAAAAAGTGCTTATTAGTTTCACTCTGTCCGTCCGTCCGTCCGTCCGTCCGTCCGTCCGTCCGTCCGTCCGTCCGTCCGTCCGTCCGTCCGTCCGTCCGTCCGTCCGTCCGTGGACACTTTTTTTGTTTACAAAACTTCTACACCCTTGAAGATAGAAAGCTGAAATTTTATATGTACATAGATCTTTACTAGAAACTTACTTCCGTAGAACAAAATTTTTACCTATCTCCCCCCCTCTAGAAGTTATACCCCCCCAAAACCTTAAAAATGGCCTTTTTTAACTTTTTGTTGCAATGAAACCATAAGCATTTTTGAAATTTTGCAAACGCAGAAAGGCAGCGGCTTGCTTTCCCTAGCGCGGTATACTACAGTTAAACTTTAGAAAAACAAAATGGCCGTTCAAATTTACCGTTATCTAAAGTCTTTTTTTTCCAAATTTTTGATGTCGTTTTTCTTCTAGACCCCAGCTTGTAGAAGCTTGAAATTTTAGAGACTTTTAGAAATTAACAAATAGTTCATTTCGTTAGAAGAAAATTTTTTTCCATCTCCACCCCCTTTCAAGTTATCGCCCCTTGAAATTTGTAAAATTTGAATTTTTGACACCTTATATTTCCGAAATCGTACGTTTTTTCAAATTTCTATAAACGCAAAAAGCTAACGGTAAATTCCATGACATTAAAAAATATAATTATTTTCCTTAACTCACACAATTAACCCTTAAAATCGAGCATTATGTTAACCCCTTTTTATATTAATTTTTGCTTTATTTCAGACTGCATAAATCGTTCATCCTAAATATATGCAATCCTAGAAAGAGTTTTGTATATGAATGAAATTTTAATAGTGTGATAGCTATACATAGACTGTATTTAAAAGCAGAATTTTCACTTGTTGAAGGGAAAAGTGCTACAATACAAACCATTGGTTTGACCCAACTTTATTGAATTATAAAATCAACAAAATGAAAAATTAAAAATACACTTATATCTAAAAATATCTTCTAAAAATAAAAATACCAAACCTAAAACCTAAAATCCACCTTCCAAAAATCTTTTCATACATTTCAAAAGGCACCGAAAGGAGAGTAATGTGTAAGACGATAGCAGATCTATGGATATGAAGCTTCACACCTCTCACTCTTGCCTTCACTTCTCCTGCTTCGCTTTCGAAGCAGGAGAAATGAAGGCAAGGAATTGAGGAAATTACAGAAAAAATAATGTTGCTGGATTAGAAATCAAATTTGAAGGTAAGAAATAAAAAAGAAAAATGAATTAATTTTTTATATCGGTATAAAACAAGAAATAGCATCCTATAATTTGAGCCAGTAAAAGACAGATTGTGCTACATGAGACTGAGGGGTAAATTTAAAGATTTGTCTTTGATCTCAATATACGGCTGAGGACACTAGAGAGAACAATAAAGATGTCTGCGATGATAAATTAGATAAGTTATACAGCAACAAAGTAAGCATACATATGTTATTAATAATTGGTGATTACAACGCCAAAATAGGGAAAGAGTGTTATGCGAGAGAAGTTGCTGGACAACATTCTCTTCATAATACTAATAATAATAGCTTACGTACATATAATTTTGCTGCGTTGCGTTCGCTCATAAAGATTTACATAAGGAAACATGGAAAATTGCCGGTGGGACTGGTGTCAATCAAGTTGATAACATTTTTTTTTTTTATTTTATTACAAAACTGAAAATAAATAACATAATAAATTTAGAAATTGTTTAAGTTATAAATCTTAGCCTAAACTTATACTATATGATCTTTTAATATTATCAATATTTGAAATGAGGTTTTGAAAATACAAAAGCTAACAAATTCATTTATCTTATTTAAAAAATTCAATATATATATATTTTATTTATATACATTTAATACATTTTTCAGTCTTTGTTTTTGCATTATACTTATAAGTTATTATTATACTTATAAGCTTAATAAATTATACAGTTTAAAAAAAACATAAGTTTAAACTAATGTTTTTAAAAACCTGAGCTGACCAATGGTTATTGCACTGGTCCTTTAACTGAAGGGTCTCGGGTTCAAAGCCCAGTCAGGTCACTATAAAAATTATATTCAATATTATATAGCTTTATACACATTACATATAAAAATAAAAAAAATTAATATTAACTAATTGCTATATTTCAATAATATTCAATATTAAAAAAAAATACCAACAAAATAAAAACAGTAAATATAAATAACCTTAAATATCTAAAATAAAGAAAAAACTACGGTACGTTCGTCACCTACCTAGTAAACCCAATGACGTCAGAAACTGGTTCATAGTTATATACAATAATCATACACCAGTCCTATGCTCCTCCTAGGAGCAAAGTAGGATAAAAACAAATGTTTTTAAAAACCATATTTAAATCATAAATAATATTAGATCCTTGAACTATTGCGTTTGATTTGGTACATATCTTTTTATTTGGCTCTTAAAACTATTTATATGCTCTATCTGTTTAAGTTCAACGGGAAGTTCATTGTTAATTTCAAGCCTTTATAAAGACAATAATTATTCTGTTGGTTTGTTCTAAATAGCGCTAAGTAGAAACTTTAACGATTTCGAGTGTTATGATCCTGGTTAATAAAAAGTTGTGTTTAATATAGTTATAAGTTTAAAAGCGATAAGGTATAGTTCCCGTTTACAAATGTTGTGTAAACTAATATATCTTTACGAATATAGCATATCCGTAGGAAACGTATATTGAAAGAAATGATTAAAAATGATAATTTTTATTGCCTAAGTGCCTAATAACGTGCAATTGATGAAGAACTTGTTCATTGGCTCCATTTTATATTTGGTTCAGATACGTAATATGGGATAGAATAAATGCAGAATATATGGTATTAATGCATTCCCAGACAAAAAGTTACGAATTCTTCGAAGTAAGAATTGATAAGGTGAAATTTTTCGAATAATATGCTGCACATGTTCAGTCCACTTCATTTTTTTATCAATTGTTAAACCTAAATAACATAAATTTTCTACAGTATCCAAATGTATGGAACTAAAAGAGAAGTTGAGAGATCTTTGAATTTTGTTACCTTCTAATAGAATTTTAACCTTTTTGATATTCAGGCATAATTTATGATGTGCAATCCACTCATATCCAATCGAGATATGTCATCGACATATATTTTGGAAAGATCCGGTCCGTGAATCGAATCCTATGGAGCACTCCTCCTAATTAGAAGACTGTCGCTCAAAAACTGTCCTATTCTAACCCTTTGCGACCTACCAGTTAAAAAAGACATAAACAGATCACAGATCTTTGGTCAAAATTACGATTCGCAATCTCCGCCAAAAGAATATTATGATTTACGCCGCCGAACGTCTTCTAAAAATCCAGAGATACTATAGCGACAAATCACCACTATCAATGCTATTTGCTGTGAAATTTGGTAGACTTAAGCATGCCGCTGTCGTGTTGGAATTTTTCTCGAAACCATATTGCTCCTCATGGGAAATGTTGTTGATTAAGAGAAATGTGCTAAGACAATTTTTAAAATCTTGGTTTGATGGGTCCGTCACCTTACCTACTTTGTGAATGGGTGCAAATATTGCAGTTTTAAGTGATTGAGGAAAAATGGAATTTTGTAGGGAATTATTTATTAATTTTACTTAAATTGGTGTGAGTTCTGTTGAAAATTTCCATATTAACTTTGTTGAAATTCCATCACACGCAGTAGCAGCATTCGACCTTAAGTTTACAATGATTTGTTTGATTTCGTTATTATCAGTTTGGTGCAAATTGAAATTATTATGTACAGTTCTTTGATTTCTATTAATAAATGTATAATCTATTCGATGATATGTCTAGAGTATTGGTCACATTCACAAAATAATCATTTATTTTGTTAGCTATTCCAAATTCATTAGATATGACGTCATCATTGATAACCAATTTTTTTATATCTTCTGAATTTTTGTGACAATTTGTGTTGTAAATTGTTTTATTGTATAAATTCCATAAGCATTTACCTTTGGATATACCACTCTATATCTCATTTGAGAAAAATGCTTTTTTAACTTTAATGTTTAATTTCCTGACCTCAGTTTTCCTTGTGAACATTTATCCTGTATTTTGTAAGATACCTGAAATACTAGTCTCTAATTTTAATTTTGTCAATTACTTCTTTTGTCATCCAACCTTTTCTTCTTTCTTTTTTACTAGCACAGTTTTGGTGTTTCTTATAATTAAATTTGTAAATCCAGCACAAAAGTGTCAAAACCAGAATAATTATTGATGTTAGACCAAAAACCTCCAGACGAAATACTATTATAACCTAAAATCGTTTTGCTATATACTTTAAATTTGGCTATTGGTTCTATATTAACATTGATAAAAAACATTTTATGGTCAGATAGTGAAGTATCAGAAATTAGAAAATGGTATTTATGGCTAACTGCATCGGTAATAAAATGATCAGTTATTGATCTCCTATTGTTGTCGATCCGAGTAACATAATTATTTGAGATTTCGTTACATATTAAAAATCCATTACTAATGATCATATTAGTGTAATCTACAACACAGTGTGTTTTACTCTCCAACAAATCTATATTCATACTGACGATTACCATCAAACTCCTATATTTTGAGGTAATGTGTTTCAATTTATCTAAAAAATCAGGTATCAGAGTTTTATGGAATCTGAAGATGTCTATAATATTTATATTGTGATTCGACAAATTAACTACTAGTATATTACTCCTATTGTATTCTTCCTTATATAAAAGACTGGACGCAATGCCCTCATCGATATATGTAGCAACTCCACCATAGGGTTCCTGCCTATTCGCAAAGTAAATAACATACACAGAAAAATTAAAGAATTGATTTTCACTCTTCAATGACCATATTTCGGTTAATACAAAAATATGAAATCTGAAATTATGTGATTTAATTAGAGATCCCAAAGTATAAAGTTTGTTGCGTGGACTTCGTATATTCAATATGATAATAAGAAAAACAAAACCAAATATAAGAAATATAATTGTTCTTGCAGTTTGTTACTCTGATCGAATTCTCATTAAATCCATTGAGAGAAATTTTTATTCTAGTAGCAGTTTTATGCACGTACATGAAGCTTGATAATTTTATAAAAGAATTAAAGTTGAATCTTTTAAAAAGCAAATAAAGTAATAAAATTAAAAAAAATTCCAAAATGATTGTAAGTGAAAAGCAGAAATATGTTTCCTCGAATAGTTTGCAAATTGAAAAGGTATATAATTGTTTGTAAGGTATGAAAAGGTACAAAAAAAAATTTGGTTATAATTAAATGAATGAAAATAATTTAGTAAATAAAACAGTAATTGAGAAAAATTGTAATTAATAAAAGATTTATCTATATATTCTTTACTAGTCTTAAGTGTCAAATAATAATTTAAAGAAAACTCCCACATTATGATTGAAAAAAGGCATGCAACTTCGACATTAGGTCTGCATGCAGTCGACATTAGGTCTTACAGAGGTGCGAGTTGCGATTCAGACCACTATTTAGTTGTTGTTAAAGTACATCAGCGGATTGCAAATGTAAAAAATACTAGAAATCATCCCAAAAGAATCATATAGAACACAGAAAAGGTTTTCGAAAATACCATTAAACGTAAAAGGTTCCAGGGAAAAATACATGAAAAAGTTAAGGAAAATGAGCTTGGAAACGTTGATAATGTTTCTGGTAAATGGAATGATATTAAAATGTGATGTACTATGTGATTTAGCCAACGAAGCTATAGGTAAGAAAATAATGAGCACCAAGGAACGGTACTATCAAGAATGTAAATTACTAAATAAAGCGAAAAATCAAGCTAAAAAGAAATGCTTATATGCCCCCACAAGACAAAATTTACAAGTCTATTACAAAATTTACAAGAGAAAAGATAAACAGCTAAGAAAGAAATCGGAAAATAGAACAGAGAGTATGTTAAAGACAAGATCCAACAAATGATTATCGGCAAAATAAAATAAAAAATATGTACTCAAGTATAAACAAACAGACAAACACTTTCCAGCCCAGAATAAATTTATGCAAGGATAAATATGCTAACACAATCAAAGACAAGGAAAAGATCATGGAAAGATGGGTAGAGCTTACTAATACAACATCATAGTTGTGAAATTAATAAGTAATGTGCTTATTACACTAATAATTTAACTTAATGGAAATTTCTTCATGCAACTGCAGAACAGATAGATGACGTAATTAAAGGAACGAGTTAAAGGCAGCAATGTAGAAAACATTTCGTCGGCAATCTCTTCGTGCCTCTGTAGCTCAGTTGGTAGAGCGTCCGCCAAGAAAGCGGTAGGTCACTGGTTCGAGTCCAGTTCGAGGAGAAAAATTTTTTAATGCCTTTAACTCGTTCCTTTGATTACGTCATCTATCTGTTCTGCAGTTGCATGAAGAAATTTCCATTAAGTTAAATGGGTAGAGCACTTTTACGAACTCCTGAATAATGATAATACTATTGAACTGAATAACGAAAATGAAATATACAACACTGCAGAAAATAAAATAGATTTGCCCACGACGGATGACATAAAGATGGCCATAAACAAGCTAAAAAACAATAGAAGTAGAGGTGAAGAGTACATAAACGCAGAGGTTCTGAAATATGGCGGCATAGGAATCCTCACCAAAGTACAAAACCTAATATGTCAAATATAGCAAGAAAAAAATATACCAGAAGAAGGGCTGGCGAGCATCGTAGTCCCAGTACCCAAAAAGGGTGATAAAACAGTGTGTAATAACTATTGTGGTATATCGCTACTAAATACTGAATATATGATATTCAGAAATATGTTATATGAAAAATTGAACATGTTTGCAGAATAGATACTAGGCGATTATCAAGGTGGATTTAAACACAATCGACCTACAACAGAACAAACTTTCATTTTGCGTCAAATCGTTGAAAAATTTTTCGAATATTCAATTGATTTTCACTGTCTGTTCATAGATTTCAAGAAAGCATTTGACAGTATCAGCAGTTCAAAAATAGAACAAATCCTAAAAATTTGTGGTATACCTGAAAAATTAATTAAGCTGGAAATTATGACACTATCAAAAAAATTAGAAATTAACTCTGGAGTAAGGCAGGGTGATGCATTCAATCTAGTACTCAACAGTGTCATTCAAGATGTAAATTCAGAATGTACCATATTAAATAAAAATATACAGTTAACTGTGACAGGCGAATAACTGTGACGACATTGTTAAAAACTGAAGAAATATAAACGCTTTGAAATAAGCATACGAAAAATATGAAAATTATCTAACGCAGTGGGGATAAATATAAACAGTACATGCTTCGCACAAACATATAAATCAAAATACATGCCTCACACAAACAACACGTCATAATACATCGACTGCGATGCAGGAACGAACTCAATCTGCAAATAAAGTATATTTCGCCCATAAAAAGTTATTACACTCCAAATTATTATCAAGGAACCAGAAACTTCAAATGTACAAATCGTTAGTAAGAGCTGTATGGCTGTGAAAATTTGGCACTAGAAACTACTGACATCTATGCAATTGCATCTTTTGAAGGAAAAATATTAAAATGAATATATAACACATTAACAGGACCCATTAGAATTGACGGAGGATAGTACCGTATTGGGTATAATCACGAGATCGAAAATTTAATATAAAGGCGAAATGTTCATAAAAGCGCAAAGAATTAGGTGACTGTGATATCTAATAAGAACAGACGATGCAAGAGTGGTAAAAAAAACTTTTTAAAAGAGTTCCTGAAGGATATAGAAGACGCTATAGACCGAGAAAAGGATGGATTGACGATGTTGAAGCAGATTTAATAACAATGAATATCTCTAATTGGTATAATCTTGCAAGACAGAGAGATCAGTGGCAGGCAGTAGAAATAGAAGCAATGGTCCACATAGAATTGTTTAGCTGAGATGATGATGACGATATATTTCAAAACAAACTGTGAGTACATTTAAACGACGCATTGTATTGCATCGCTCTTGCATATTGTGCTATTTACACACCCGGATTTTTACCCCGGGGGAAACTCCATCGATTTACGCTGGACGTTCAACGCGTTAGTTTGATCCATGCCCATCCTATCTCCTGGAAACTGACGAGCGGCTGAAGGACTTAGTGGACTTCTACGGAAGGAGGAACTTCCAACTGATAATTGGAAGTGATGCAAATGCCCACCAAGTCTGGGAAACCACCAAAAGGTACGTTCTTAAGTTTGGGAAACAAGACAGGTACGTGCTTACTTGAATTTATTTATAGTAATGAACTAGAAATTACGAATGATTTATCATAAATGTTCCATTATGATGTAATGCGTTCCGTGCATTCTATCAGGACCACGGCAGACATCGAGTTAACTAATGGGGGCTTGACAGCGCCTGTTATTGATACCTATCATGGGGGAGTTTTCGTATCAAAGCGAGGCGGAGCAACTTATCTTCCAATACTTAGAGTAAAGGCCAGGAAGCTCTTTAATAACGCCAAGGCGTCGAATTTGTGGAAAGAATATAGACGCTTACTCACAATTTATAATAGAGAGATAAAGAAAGCAAAGACGGAGGATCTTTTGCAATAGGATTCTTTCCAAAAAATACGCAGGCAAGCTGAGCTTATTGGAACATATTGCAAAGGTACTGTTGAAAATCTTTCGTGCCAGTTAGGCGTGGGGATTACATTCCACTATCGTGGAGGGTAGCTAAAGTCACGTACATTCCGAATACAGAAATACAACCAAGCAACCACCCCAGGGTCTTGTCGTCCAATTAGTTTTAACCCTTTTCTATTGAAGACGATAGAAAAGGTGATTAAAAGATATATTCGAGAGGGTCAGCCACTGTCATGAGTTCCAATGTGCATATCACTCGAGAAAATTCACTTCCGCTCTACAAAGTCTGACAGGGGTTATCGAGAGCGCGACAACGGCGTGGCGCAGAGAGAGACGAATTGCCAATATCAATCTATGGGTAAATCAACCATAATATAAATAAATAATTTAATTTGAATCCGACTGCTTTATCATTGATTAAATTTTAAAGTTTTAATTTCCTAGTTTTAATTTGTTGTTGGTAACAAAAATCGATTATTCATAAAAGAATTTGAATCAGAAACTCAATTAATTTTTTTAATTATGAAAACAAAACGAAACTAGATAAACGACAATAAAAGAGACAAAAAATTTAGAAATTCTAAATACTAATTCTAAATACTGAACGGTTTCATATTACCAACGACAATAAAAAATTTACATTGCGTCTCTTCATATAAAGTAATATATTGTTGATTTTAAAATATATAAAAAATAAACTTTAATATAAACAGAAAAATTACTATTCTTAAAAGTTGTGCATATAACTTATAAGAATTATAATATATTTTAATAATAATAATAATAATAATAATAATAATAATACATATAATCTTCTATATTATATTATAAAAGTCAAATCCGATGACGCAATCGTCGTGTATTCTTATATTTTCATCTTCGGAAGAATAACGTAGCAAAAGAAAACGAAAAAAAAATTTATTCTGAAATCTCCCAACAATCTACACAGATTTGTAGCAGAACTTTTTCGCTTTTCATTTTATGTTTATTTTCTAATAAGTTTAATGTTTGGCTGTTACGCAGCAGAAGCGATAGGATACATTTATGTATAATTTATTCTTAACATTATTGTTTTGTTATACATTTTCTACAAAATGAATAAAATCTGTAAAGAAATATAATTCGCAAATAAATCATAATAACGCATATGAAACAAAGTAATACTCAAAGAAGAGTTTTTTTATGTTTGGTTTTACTCATATACTTAAGTGGCCAAAAAGGTTTTGCGTTAATTGCATGCATTTAAATCTATATTATATTTTACAAGATTTTTCCAGTTCATGAACAGGTATACATATAATCTAATAAATAACAAAAACAAAAAAATGAAAATAGCAAAAGAGAATACTGGGTAGAAGCATTACTCAATTGATTATACATACTGTAAAACAAAAACAAAAAATGAAAAGCGAAAAGCGAAAGAGAATAAAAATAAAGTTGGGTCAAACCAATGGTTTGTATTGTAGCACTTTTCCCTTCAACAAGTGAAAATTCTGCTTTTAAATACAGTCTATGTATACCTATCAAACTATTAAAATTATTTTCATTCATATACAAAACTAATTCTAGAATTGCATATATTTAGGATGACGCATATATGCAGTGTTTGAAATAAAGCAAAAATTAATATAAAAAGGGGTACACATAATGCTCGATTTTAAGGGTTAATTGTGTGAGTTAAGAAAAATAATTATATTTTTTAATTTCATGGAATTTACCGTTAGCTTTTTGCGTTTATAAAAATTTGGAAAAGCTTGCGGTTTCGGAAATATAAGGTGTCAAAAATTCAAATTTTACGAATTTCAAGAGGTGATAACGTGAGAGGGGGTGGAGATGGAAAAAAATTTTCTTCTAACGAAATGAACTATTTGTTAATGTCTAAAAGCTCCTAAAATTTCAAGCTACTACAGGCTGGGGTATAGGAGAAAAATAACATCAAAAATTTGGAAAAAAAGGACTTTAGATAACGGTAAATTTGAACAGCCATTTTGTTTTTCTAAAGTTTAACTATAGTATATCGCGCTAGGGGAAGCAAGCCACTGCCTTTCTGCGTTTGCCAAATTTCAAAAATGCTTATGGTTTCATTGCAACAAATATTTAAAAAAGGCCATTTTTAGGGTTTTGGGGGGGTATAACTTCTAGAGGGGGGGAGATAGGTAAAAATTTTGTTCTACGGAAATAAGTTTCTAGTAAAGATCTATGTACGTATGAAATTTCAGCTTTCTATCTTAAAGGGTGTAGAAGTTTTGTAAACAAAAAAAGTGTCCACGGACGGACGGACGGACGGACAGAGTGAAACTAATAAGCACTTTTTTCAAAAAATTTTTTGGAAAAGTGCTAAAAAGGGTAGTAATATTTTTTTTGTTTATTTGCTTTACTACCATAAACAAAAATAAAAAGCAAAAGGAAGCGAAATATTTTAAATGAGTTAAGTAAGAGTAAAATAATTTTTTGTTGTTGTATTTAACATGGAATGGAATTAAAATAAAGTTGGGTCAAACCAATGGTTTGTATTGTAGCACTTTTCCCTTCAACAAGTGAAAATTCTGCTTTTAAATACAGTCTATGTATATTTATCACACTATTAAAATTATTTTCGTTCATATACAAAACTCTTTCTAGGATTGCATATTTTTAGGATGAACGATTTATGCAGTCTTTGAAATAAAGCAAAAATTAATATAAAAAGGGGTTAACATAATGCTTGATTTTAAGGGTTAATTGTGTGAGTTAAGGAAAATAATTATATTTTTTAATGTCATGGAATTTACCGTTAGCTTTTTGCGTTTATAGAAATTTGAAAAAACGTGCGATTTCGAAAATATAAGGTGTCAAAAATTCAAATTTTACAAATTTCAAGGGGCGATAACTTGAGAGGGGGTGGAGATGGAAAAAAATTTTCTTCTAACGAAATGAACTATTTGTTAATGTCTAAAAGTCTCTAAAATTTCAAGCTTCTACAGGCTGGGATCTAGAAGAAAAACGACATCAAAAATTTGGAAAAAAAGGACTTTAGATAACGGTAAATTTGAGCGGCCATTTTGTTTTTCTAAAGTTTAAATGTAGTATACCGCGCTAGGGAAAGCAAGCCGCTGCCTTTCTGCGTTTGCAAAATTTCAAAAATGCTTATGGTTTCATTGCAACAAATAGTTAAAAAAGGCCATTTTTAAGGTTTTGGGGGGGTATAACTTCTAGAGGGGGGGAGATAGGTAAAAATTTTGTTCTACGGAAGTAAGTTTCTAGTAAAGATCTATGTACATATAAAATTTCAGCTTTTTATCTTCAAGGGTGTAGAAGTTTTGTAAACAAAAAAAGTGTCCACGGACGGACGGACGGACGGACGGACGGACGGACGGACGGACGGACGGACGGACGGACGGACAGAGTGAAACTAATAAGCACTTTTTTCAAAAAATTTTTTGGAAAAGTGCTAAAAAATAAAACTAAAAATTGTGAGAGATATAAGAACACGAATAACGTTACGTTACGTACTAAGGCAATTATTCTTCGTGTGCTTGCGAAATTTCAATTGAGTAAGTAGCCAAGTCAGGTCTGTATAAAGAAAAGAGGCATTGATTTTTTA